GTATGCAATCATCACTTCACGTTCTGTGTTATCAGGGTTCTCTCCAATTAGTGGTCAGTTGATTTTTCAGGATGGTTGTCCTGCATTTTAGTTGTCTTACCAGCTTGGTCTTGGGGGCTTGCCAGTGTGCCTTCCACTTATTTCATTGCCATTTTCTCTTCCCTTTGATATTTCTTTTATTACTGTATTAAGTGTCTTCACATTTCATGAAGCAGTTACTCCTTTAATCCTTTCACCTTTATGGACCAATTATGGCCTGAGAAATAAGATTTATCTGCATGAGTGATAAAGGGTGTTGCCTCGTAGAGATGTTATCTTGATCTTGAGAAAAGATTCAAAAGTCTTGCCTTCTTGATGCTCTATGAGTTGAGGTTATAATAATAATAATCGATAGAACCAGTGCATGAAAATCGTGCATGGGGGGTTGGAGGGGATGTTCCTCAGCCCAGCCTATACTCTCTTCATTCCTGGACCCCTCAGGGGATGTTCGACTGCCTGACATCCCTCACATAATCTGGGCCCGCTGGCTCCTAACCACTCACCTATCTGCCTGTCTTGTTGCCCCTAACTGCCTTCCCCTGTCAGCCTGGTCACCCCTACTGCCCACCTCTGCCAGCCTGGTCGCCCCTATCCGCCTCTGCCTTGGCCCCCACCACTATGGCTTTTTCCAGAAAGATACCAGGAAGGATGTCCAAAAGATGTCCTGTCTAATTAGCATATTACCCTTTTATTAGTATATAGTATAGATAATGTATGAGTCCACAATGACTTTGGTAGCCATTTTTTTCATTGACAATTGAGGGTGAAAAATATTGCTGGGGACATACTGATTTCTGTTTCTATTCTATGGTAGGTTGTGGCCAAAAGTATTTCTTTGATAATTCTTGCCAACAAACACTAAGTCTTCCTTTGATGTGTATATTGTGCGGAGTTCACAGATGTTATATGGGCTTTTGCAGTTTTTCAAAACAAAACTTTGCAGTGTATTTCACAGAACATTCCACTCATTGAGTATTGTTACTCTGGCTGTGGTTTTTAACCCTAGCTATCATCAAATATATTTGATTACCTATCTTCCCAGTCATTCTTTCTTTGCAGTTCTCTCCTTTTTTGCTCTTTTGCATTGCTCTTTGTCTTTATTAAGCTTTTATTCCCATCTCTGGTGGGTGTTAATTTGTTTGTTTGTGGATACCTGTCTACTTATTCTGGCAGGGAGATAAATTCTATCTCCTATTTTGCTATATTGCTGGTGTCACTCACATAGTTTTGTATTTTTATTATTCTGCTTTGCTGTGTTTTTTTCCTCTGTGGTTTCTTCCGTGCTCTCTTGTTCTACCACAATACTGGCCATGAATCTTTTCAGGGTTTTTTTTTAGGATATCTGTCATCTGTATCCAATGGAATTGCTCAACTAGGATTTAAGGGGAAGAATCATTTGTGCATTATAGGAGGAAGTGGACTACATCCATGGCAGGGTGGACCCAGTGGCCGTCTTGCCTTGGTGAAGGGTTGTTGGAAAAGTTTGATACGAGAGCTTTATCAAAGTTATAAGTAAGAACTTATTTTGTTCAATATTGTTTCACTACCATTGCCAGTTCTGTACCCCATTCTACTTTTGCTTGTTTATTATTTACACTTTGCAAACTACTCAGTTCTTTTAAAAAAATATTTTTTTATTTTAGACACAGAGGAGTGATGGGTGTGGGTGGGGGGAGGGAAGAGAAAGAAAAGAAAGAACCATTGATTGTTTGCCTCCTGTTTGCAGCCCAAATGACGGTTGAACTTGGAACCTGGGCAGGTGCCCTACAAGGATTCTATCTGGGAACCTTTCCATGGGAAGGATGATTCTCAACCAACTGAGCCACACAATCTATAGATAAACTACTCAATATAACTGTTATATTGACTTAGGTTTCTAGCTTATGGATAATCTCCCTCTCTACACTTTGTACCTCAGTTGCTCTCCATACAGGTTCCTCTTTACTGCATTCCTTGGTCCATGCCCTTAGAGCCTCAGTGTGTCACATATTATATTAACCACACATTTCATGTGCTGGAATGCAATGGGTTTTAATATGTTCAAGCACATTCACAGTGTTCTACACAGACTGCGTGATCAGTTTGAATGGTCCTACAGGAAACTGTTTATAAAGGAACTAGTGGGCCCTGCCTCTCTTGTTTGTGTCCCATCATATGTTCCTGCCTCTCCCTTGGTAAGATCTTCACCATTGAGTGAACTTAGGAGTCAAGTAATGTATAACAGCCATTTCCTCAGAGTCTAACTCACTGGTCTTAAAAAGCATCCCATGCAATCATGCCTGGTTGTGACAGATAGACAGTTGAGATGAGGGTATTTCTTCCTTCCAAAGTCATCATGTACTTCACCTGCATTTCCTTTTATTTAGGTTGCTGCTGTGGAGCAGAGAATGTGGAGGCACCTTTTGAAGAGAACATTTCTGTAAGAGTGTCACAGGCAATGAATGCCAAGTTAGCTTTGTCTTCCCAGAAGAGCCACCCCTGTGAGAGTTGTGGACTAGTTTTGAGAAACATTTTCCAGTTGACTCATCAGCAGGCATTACAACACAGGCAGATACTGTTGAAGTGTGGGGCATGTTCAAAACAATTTTATTTCAGTGCACAGTTTCACCAGCACCAGCAGCAGTACTTGAGAAAGAAGCCTTTGATAAGAGGGGTGAACAGTGTCTCACTTGAAAACAGCTGCAATTTCAGTGTGTTTCAGAACCTTTTTACCTGTAGAGAGGTGGAGCAGAACATCCTTAGCATGGCAGGCCATTTCCAGCAAAAGGCCACTCAGATCATTGACAGGCCAAGTGGCATCTCGATGTGTGGGGTGACATATCAAGGGAAAAAGAATTATTTTACTACAAAAGAATGTAAGAAAGCTATTGGCAATAACTACACGTGTGTTTGGGATAAGGGTGTCCCTACTGGCAAAGCGTATTTTTGTTGCCGTGAATGTGGAAAATATTTTGCCCGATTTTCCATTTTTCGTTACCATCAGAGATTTCATGCAGAAAAGAAGTTTTGTGGGAACAGTGAATGTGGGAAATCTTTTACCAGTAGTACTGGCCTCCTTTCTCATCAGAGTTGTCACAAAGGTGAAAGGCCTTATCAATGTATTGAATGTGGGAAATCTTTTACCAGGATCTGTTACCTTCATCGCCACCAGAGAGTTCACACTGGAAAAAGGCCTTATGAGTGCAATGAATGTGGACAGTCTTTTATTCAGAGCCCTGGCCTCCGTTATCATCAGAGATTTCATTCTGGAGAAAGGCCTTATGATTGTAGTGTTTGTGGGAAATCTTTTACTTGTAGCAGTGGCCTCCGTTATCATCAGCGAGTTCACACTGGAGAAAGGCCTTTTG